AATTGAAAAATACCTTAAAAAGCATTTCAAATGCTGAGCCAAAACCAGCCGACCCCGAGAAACTTAAACTCGAAAAAACAATCATTAGGTTAGAGAAAGAAATAAAAAAAGGTAAGGAGGAAATGATGAAAAGGAAATTGAGCGAAGAGGAAATTTCAGAACTATATAAAAAAAGTTACTCGCTGCGAGGTAAAAGGTTAGAATGAGTTGAAAAATGAGGAAAAAAAGAAAACGCACCTACTCTCTTGTTTTGCGGCGAGGAGTTTAATGAGCAATTAATGAGGGAGAAAAAAAGCGGTAATAATAGTCGAAAGGCAGTAAAGGATTATAATATTATCGATTTTGGGCAGGCGGAAAATAATAAACTTGACACTTTCAAAAAAAAAATCCAAGAAATCTGTAAAAAAACGGAAAATTTATCCGAAAGAAGACTTGATGGAGACTCGCCAATTGTTTGGCTGAAAAATATTGATAAGATTACTGATTCAGAACTAAAAAAGGAACTTTTGAAAGTGGTTGACTCAAGTCAAAATACTAACTTAGGAAAATTAGAAAACCCGATTGATTTGTCTCAGTTTACTCTGGTGGCTACCACTTCCACAACTCGCCCCAAACTGTCGAATGAATTAAGAAATAAATTAAGGCATATTGAGCCATTTTTAGAAAAACATAAGTGAGTTATTTTCGGCTCCTCAATCGGGGTAGAAGTTGTTGTCTTTGGGTTGTTAATAAGAAGCCGGAGAAAGAGCAAAAATAAATCACTCAAACATTTAGAAGATTAATTTTTTTTTTTTCTTATGAAAAAACTTTTGGGCTTTCTAAATCTTTTGGTGCCTTGTGGAGGACTCGAACCTCCAACCCCCTGATTAAGAGTCAGGTACTCTAACCATTGAGTTAACAAGGCTAAAGTGAACATTTATAATTTATTTTACATCCATTTTTCCTAAATTATGAAGAAGACATTTATCTTTAAGTATGACCTGCATTTCTCTCCGAAGCAAATGTTTAGGGAATTCAAGGAGGTCATTAACGACCA